GAGAAGCGACGGCGAAGGGAGGTGGAACATCGGAAAGAGGTCGAGAGGCTGATAGAGGAGAAGAGAAGGGAGCAGGAAGAGAGAAGGAAGGCAGAGGAGCGAGAGTGGGAAGAATGGAAGGAGCTTGATAAGATCAGGTCTCTGCCTTCATTCATGGATAAAGAGAACCACTGCTCTGTAAAATGCCAATAGGGTTCCAGAATTGAGTGTGTGAAGAAAATTAGATGGGGGCTCTTCAGTTGTTAGCCTGGTGGCCATTTAATAGCTCCCAGATTCAAAGTTTAATCATCTAAGTTTAGCAATTTGACATTTGGTCAAGCTATTTATGGCCCCAAATGGTATTAGAAACTAGTCCATAGAATATCAAAAACTTCAATGTTTGTGGTATTCTATGGAATGCTCCCATGCAGTCGTGAGCTTGGAAAGTCCATATTTATTTCTGAACCTCTTTCATCTGACACATGATATCTTGGATCTTCCAGTGGTGGTAAAGTTAAAATCCAAGTGCTGCTATTTTATCCCAGATGAGGCATTCCAACCAGTGAATCGAGAATGCTAAAACGTCATACATTCTTTTTTTCAGGGCTGCCATCATCGAAGAGGAGAAGAAGCGACTGCTGGAGGCACATAGGCCATATTTAGGACCTTTCACCCCTCATCGGCACCTCCAGGGTCGAGGAAATCCTTCCGACGCGTCCCCGTGATGTCCGCTTTTTTAGGGTTGCATTGAGTCTTCGAAAAAAAAATCAGGGCTTTTCAGGAAGATCTGAAACTTGTTGAGGTTTTGATGAATAATTTTTATTTCATATGCTCTGGTAGGAGTGAATGCTATGAGAAGTGGAGTTGTGATCTGTTTTTAGAAACCACTTTCATCTGCAGTACCTAAACATCTTATTATCGGCGATTCTGGTTTTAGCTTTACGACCTACTTCTTTGTGCGAATGGATATCTCTAGTCTGCCTTGACATTCATATCCTAGAAATGGTCACAAAGAGCTCTATGGCTCACAGAATTCTATGTGGGAGTCATTGGACTCAATAATAGTTCCCCTCAAAGTACTTCCTTCCCACCTGGTATGCTGAAGATTTCTCACTTCCACTGTGTACACTCTCATCAGCACAGATCTGTCCTTAGAGGACAAGATCCTCAAGTCTGGGGAAGATCTGCTGCAGGTGCAGATTTTTTTCTCATTCTGCCACCTCATTTCAGAGGTTTCTGGCATGTCTAAACCTTTGTTGCTTTTGTACCAACGAGTACAAGTCGACACACCACAATACAATGCACAATCTGATTGACCAGGATCTCAACTTGGGAGTGAATCCCATTGATTGTGATGATTTTTATACTTTATGTAATAAACTTTCTTTGCTCTTTGAGATGATTCAGTCTTTCATTTTACTCATCGGCAAATACCAAGAGAAATGACCCTTTCCTAACCCATCTGACCCATCATCCTCCAAATAGGTTGACTTTCTCACTCTTTGGCCTTTGACCTGGGAGAAAATAATGGAGGCCTATACATTGTACCGAAGCAATGACGAAGACTAGACCGGAAGGGCTTCGGAAAACGAGCCACGCGAGTCGAGTCCGTCCGCGGGAGGACCGGCCCCGACCACTCAGCTCAGTGGCCCCGACCCGAGTGCAGCGCGCATGCCCCAGAAGGCCACGGTATGTGCTAGCAGACGCAGGGGCCTGGGCGGTGCGTGTGGCTTGGCCGTTCCAGGTTGCGAAGGTCTGAGGTGTGGGACGAGTTTCTAGCGGTTCCTGGGCGAAACACGGTCCGTGCGCCATCAAGAAACATATATTACCAATATATCCATTTAGATACATGTACGATAACACTTATTTGCTCCAAAGGGCGTGGGAACGTATTCTAAAGTTAAGCCATATGGGCCACTGAATGCTCCCTATCAGGGCTGGATTAAGGGGGCCGAAGGGGGCTGTTGCCCCGGGGCCTACTCTTGCAACCTAGGAAGGTTGCGCGTTCTTTAGATGGTGATTTAGCAAAGTCTCTCTCTTCGCTCTGCCGACTCCAAGCAGGAAGGAAGGTCCGTCCTTAGATCAACGTAAACAACTGTGCAGAATTTATCGGATCATCAATGGGGGAAAGACCAGAAGAAACACGCGGAAGACGCATCCTCGCGTTCGCAAGAGGGACACACGACACCCAAAACGACACCCACCCTGCTCACCCGCGGAGTTCGAGACGCACTCGACGCACCCACGTGTCACCCGCCCGACGCTTCCCGACCCAATGCCCTCCCCCACGTGCCATCCGACCGACACGAACGCCGCATAGGACAGGACGAGGGCGTGGAGAGAGTGGCCCCGCCATGGCCACTCCGCGTTTGGAACCGGGGGAACTCTTCTCTACTCGATACCGCGTAGGGCACGAGGACTCCACATAACTTCACGAATATCTAATCGATTGAAACCATGTCTGGAGGGAGGATAGCCTCGATTCTTGGCTTCCGATATCCTTTCATTTGTTTCGAACGTGTGTGTGTGCTCGTGGAGCCATGGGCTCGCAAAGGTGCAACTGGTCGGGCCAGTTTTGCGACTTGTGTTCAGCGAAGTGGGAAAGCGAGTTCTTTTTTTTTTTGCATTCACCTTTAGTTTTTAACAGTTGAGCGACACGTCTGAGCATGCTCTCGATCGAGTTCACGCGCCCTTGCAACGGGATATCGTTTCGCACGAGATCCATACGCTCCCACGGCGCAAGCATATCGCTCGGATCGATGCCGTATTCCCGGGACGAGTTTCCTCGGATGGAATCACGAATCTTTTATGAAGTTGTGGTCCGGGGACCGTACGGGCCACTCCAGCACTTAGATCCGTTGTCGACGAATCATTTTTGGGTAGCCCGAGAGGTGTGTCTGGGATGGGTGTCCCATCGGACCATCGTCTTCCCCGCGTTCAGTTCGTAGTCTTCCACGATTCTGAGCCATCCGTCACCGAGGATGCTTGCACGGAGCTCTGTGTTCGTGTGGCCAACGATACGTCATGCATCGATGGCCGCATGGAACGTCCAAGGAGTCGCCGTGCTACTCCTCGGGCGATCGTGCACCCCCAAATCGTTTTATTTCAACCGCCAAGCGCGACCGTAACTCGAAGATGCTGCGCCGTGAACGCACGATCCCAGACGGTTCATCTCGGTCTCTTCGGACCGATGGGTCCTTCCACGTTCCAAGGCTGGGGTCACCGTGCAAAGTCGAGTCGCTAATGGCGAAATTGAAGGCTTCGTCTTCTTAGATTCTGCCTTCAGGCCGACACTGAACTCCACTTCGGTCACGTCTTTCGGCTCTTGCGCCAGCTGGACGGCTCAAAATCGTCCCTTCCCGAGGTGAACACGAGCCTGAGCTTCGCTGGTCATCCACTGCGGGTCTTTCGCGTCTCAGGTTTGGTCTTACCGCGCATTCATGTTACCGTAGTACAGTGGCGTGCCCAAGGGGGAGGGGGGTTTGGGGTCATAACCCCCCCCCTTGGGGTCAATTTTACAGGTTCGATTCTCACGAATTTTTTATTTTACCATAAATACAGGGTGGGTTATCATACGTTAACCCCCTCCCCCATTAGGATGGGTAATAAGTGTTTTTTTATATGGCAACCCCCTCCCCTAATCGGATTTCCTGGGCATGCTAATGCTGCAGCATGACCTACACCTAGCTGTGCTGCAGTTTTCTGCGACGAAAGGCCGTTGTCGAGCAGAGGAACTGTTGCGAATTTCTCCGGAAATGCGTTTCATAGCGTAGGGAGTCGTGAAGGAAGAGAGTTAATTTTTTAGCAAGCGTAGAAAGTGCGAATGCATCATTTCTTGTCAGTTTGGTGAAGCTGGACTGGCAGCTCACACTTTTGAGAGCCAATTACTTGCTCGTTCAAAACAAAGTCAAAGGATATTGGAAGCCAAGAATCAAGGCTTTCTTCCCTCCGAATCTG